GCATGGGTCAAGATCTCTTAGGTATAATTCATCTTTGTTAAGCACTATGGAGTATGGCTGCTTGCCCAAGAACATAAGGCCCTTGCTGGATCAGAGGAAGGTCTGAGCATTCTTTGCAAGATTCCTTCTTCTTCGGCAATCACTCGTAACCGAGTAAGATTGTCTTGCATGAACACAGTTTTAACAGTGAGTCCGTAAGTGACTGTGGAGGCCAATTCTGGAGCCACATGTCCTTCCACAGTGGGGACACAGGTTTCCGGGTGGGAGTTGATCACGGTGTGGGTTTGCCAAGCATGCCTTCCTCTTAGCTCGTTTCTCCCTTTTTGTCCTGAGTTTGATCGACTTCAAAGCCCACTGACACCTTCGGTAAAGGCTGTTCTCCAACTGGAGCGCTTGCAGGCCAGTGTTTCCCAGTTGTCAGTGTTTATACTACATTTTTAAAGATTTGCCTTGAGAGTCTTTAAACCTCTTTTGTTGACCACCAGCATTATGCTTTCCATTTTAAGTTCGGAATGGAGTACAGTGGTACCTCGGGTTACAGACGCTTCAGGTTACAGACGCTTCAGGTTACAGATTCCGATAACCCAGAAATAGTACCTTGGGTTAAGAACTTTGCTTCAGGATGAGAACATAAATTGTGCAGGGGCAGCGGGAGGCCCCATTAGCTAAAGTGGTACCTCAGGTTAAGAACAGTTTCAGGTTAAGAACGGACCTCCAGAACGAATTAAGTTCTTAACCGGGGGTACCACTGTAATTGCTTTGGAAGACGATAATCAGGCATCCGAGCAAGATTCCAGGGAGTTACTAACTAGCTGTTTGAAAATGGTCATTGATCTATTGCTCACTCACAATATACCTTCTGCCTGCCATTTATTCTTCATTCCAAATCAGAAACATTAAATAATCTGAAGACTTCTTCACCCTAAGATCTAGCAGTCTAAGCCGTCCTCTTCAAATGTACTAAGCAACAAGTGCCAGCCATGAAACACATACACAAAAGATTAAAAAAGGCTGCCTCTGTGCTAAATACGGAAGCTCAAATATTTGTTTCTGAGGAAAAAATTGAAGCTTGACTGCAACATCTCCCACCTACTGTTGAGGTTTTCAGAGACAGGCTTTGACACAAGATCCAAATCCCCTTTCCCAACTTCCCCCCTAATGTAGGGTTGCCATATTTCAAAAAGTGAAAATCTGGACACAAAAGTTCTGGAGGTGTTTTTTTTTGGGGGGGGGGGTTGTTGAGGTCTGCCCTCCCCCGCTAAATCTTCTAGATGTTTTTACCAATTTTCAGAAATTCCCTCATATAACAGGGCTTTCTTTTATTATCGTGAGCAAATAAAGAGATTCTCCTGGAAAACACCCTTTGCTTTATTATGTCATTGTGAGTTTTGTTTTGGTGGTGGTTGTTTTCTCAGCTGACTGTTTCACAAAATGTTACGAGAATAATGTGGTTCAACCCCATTAGTCATTTCATAGTTATTACAGTAACACACAGCCACACTAACTTGAAGTGCAGAAAAACATTATATCCATTTGCCCCATCCATATGAGCATACCAGAAGAGAACAGGCATTGGATAACACAGACTGGTATTCAAAGCTCGGCTGAGAGAAATTCCAGTACCCACTCTTCTGCAGAGGCAAAAAGAATTATTTTTCACTCAATGACAGAATGGTCACTTTTGTTCTGCATTCTGAATCAGGGCCCTGCCCTTCCACCACCACCGTTTCAAAACAATTAGGGCACCCATGGTTTGCTTTACAGAGAGCATCACAAGATGGCAACAGCCGCAGTTCCCTGGACTGTGGACCTGCTTTGTGTCAAATACCTAAAACAGCATATAAAGAATTTCCAGAAAGCTGGAACCTTAACTGAGGGACGCAGGTGGCGCTGTGGGTTAAACCACTGAGCCTCTTGGGCTTGCCGATCAGAAGGTTGCCGGTTCGAATCCCCGCGACGGGGTGAGCTCCTGTTGCTCGGGCCCAGCTCCTGCCAACTTAGCAGTTCGAAAGCATGAAGTGCAAGTAGATAAATAGGTACCGCTCCGGCGGGAAGGTAAACGGCGTTTCCGTGCGCTGCTCTGGTTCGCCAGAAGCGACTTAGTCATGCTGGCCACATGACCCGGAAGCTGTATGCCGGCTCCCTTGGACAATAAAGTGAGATGAGCGCTGCAACCCGAGTCCTCCGCGACTGGACCTAATGGTCAGGGGTCCCTTTACCTAGAACCTTAACTAGTCCTGGCCTTGTAATTCCTGTGAGTACAAAGAAAGGCAGTAGGCCCACTGATTCCTAAATGTAGGAGCATGCAGATGCAGCTGCCAAAATACCACCCTTCCCTTCCTCTTAAAGGATAACACTTGCACATTCATAGATCAGCTGTCTCCAATGCCTACTCTATTCTTTTAAAACTATGTTTGTATTGTGCTTCTGCACTCTGGCCCGGAGTGGCTAGGAGGGGAAGCAGCAAGCAGAGGGAAGGAGGAAAGCCGATGGATGGACCAAGAGAGGAGGAGGGGAGGCAGGGCAGAGCCAACCCCAATGGCAGAGGAAGTCACTGGCAGAGCGCTAAAGGCAACAAAAAGCAAACTTTTCGAGTTTCTGGTCCATGGTATCTTGCTGCTTCAGGGCTGACAATGCACCTCCTTGCCAAAGACTAGGTTCACCTCTGAAAATAAGAATCGGCCTTACACTGTACTGAGTGAAAACCATTGGTCCACCAAGGACCAGTATTGTCTCTGTACTGGCTGGCACTGCTCTTTGGAGTTTGAAGCCGGAGTCTTTTCTCAGTCCTAGCTGGAGACAGCAGGGGCTGGAGCTGGAACCATGTGCATGGAAGCCTTTGTTTCTCTCTGGACAGCCTGCGAGAGGAAGCCAATGGGAGGACTTGAGCAAGCAAGCTGCCAACTCAATCATGTCTACTCCAGACTATGACCTACTGAGTTGAATAGGGCTTACTCCCAGCAGGACTGCAGCCTTTGGAAAATTGGGTTCAGAGGGCGTGTATGTTGCTTTTTAAATTTATTTTTATTCAAAATTATAACAACACATATTATCCAAAAACATCATCCTTGTTTCCACCCCCATTTTTCCTCCCTCCCCCCCAAAAACCCACCCACCCCCACCCCCTGACTTCCCTCAGTTCCAGTCTTTGGTTTCTCTAAGAATGCTGTTTTCTGCATGTTACAAAGTTGTAGAGATCCTCAAACTATTTAGCTGATTATCATCAATAAAGTTTGTGAATGTTTATTCAAAACCTGCCAAGGAGTCCAGTTCGCTTTGCTGCGTCTTCAGATACTTTGTAAAGGGTTCCAATCATCCTTAAAGTCACAGTTATCCTTGTGCCGTAGCTTATGTCAGTTTTGCCAGTTCTACATAGTCCATCAATTTTTCTTGCCATGATTCTTTAGTTGGGGTTTCTTCAGTCTTCCATCCTTGTGCTACCAGAACTCTCGCGGCCGTGTTGCTTTTAAACTAACACCCGTCACAAAACATATATCAGAAAAGCACACAATTGTTCTCAAAATCTGGCAGCACCTCCTGCTATTTGTCAAAAATGCAAGTCTTTCTACAGCCTGTAGCGCATGGGTAGGGAACCTCAGGTTCAGGGACTGTGTGTGGCCCTCTAGGTCTCTCTAACCGGCCCTCAGCACTCTCCCCAGGCCAGACCCTTTACTGGTCATGATTTCCACCAAAAATGTTTCCAGCTGGCTGGGATGCAACCTTGAACTTTGATAGTGCCTTTTGAACAATGGCAACTCGTGCATTCATTGCCCTGTCCCCTTTTGCCTCTAGCTTTGCCCCCCCCCGTTGGAAATGTGGCCCCCTGCTCCTGCTGCAGCATAACCCCATGGTGTGGCTACATTTTGATGCATTGGAAAGCAGCACAATGCCTGTGAAGATGCACATCATATTCCCCTTTACTGGTACATCTAAAAAGCACTGTGGCGCTGTACCAACCCACATTTTTAAGAAGCTTCAAAGTGCCATCGTGTTCCTGCACGCAAGTATAGAAAGGCCAGCCAAAAAGAGATGAACAAAAACCGGGCTTGCTCTTTTCAGCTACAGCCACTGCTATGTTAAGATCGCCCTCTGCTGCTCAGCCCAGGTCTATATTCACATTACAAAGTGATTTAAAAGACTCCCCCCCCACCTCCTCTTGGCCTGCAGGAAGACAGAAAAAGACAAACTGAGTTTTGCCAAACAAAAACATCTAACAGTGCCACATAACCTGAGGATCACGTCAAAAAGAGTGGTTTAACAGACTACTTTAATTTCAAACCATGCCAAGATACCTAACCCAGAGTCGTCCTCTCACCTTTATAGTTAGAAACTGAATTGTCAAGTTCGAAGGGACCTCAAGGATCATCTAGCCCAATTCCCAAATGTACATACTGTACCGCCTTCTACATATTTGAGGTGAGCTAAGGTTTTTCTGTGAAGGACTATGAACTGTGCAAGGAACACCCTCCTCAGAGACAGACAATGATTCAAATGAAAGACTGTTAGGATTTGCACACATTATCCAATACTGAGCATCTCATTTTCTAGATGGATCGTTCTATTGCCAGTTATATGCTGGCGAAATGCCCATTTTGGTGCCAGGTCAGTGTGCTGTGGGAGAGCATGTTTCTACAGGGATCCCTGTGGGGTGCAGTTCACCTCTGAGTGCCGGGTACACAGAGACGCATGATGCACACTTGCAAAAACCATTAGTAAGGCCAGGCCAGAGAGAATAGAAAGGCAGTTCATCCTCCCTGTACAACTAGGATTAGAGAAGGAATCAGTTTTAAATGCATCTAACATCAGAATTTGGCAGCTCCAGCCCAACTGAACTTTACTGTCTTCCGATTGCCTCCTTGCCTGCTTATGTCTAAGACACCTGCCCATTATGGTAATTTTTTTAAAAAAACCAACCTTGCTAATCATATGCAAAATAATATGCTAAGTCTGTTTTACCAATTTCTGTGGTAAACTCAGAAGCAATGAGCAGAAAGAGACCATTGTGTTCCAACTGGTTTATTAAATCAAAGATGAACATTTCATTAACTATACAAAAAGAAAGTGGGATAGCAAGAGTTAAGCATTGTTTGAGCAGTAAGTGTTACAGACGATCTTTTATGTCATTCTTACCCTCCCTCTTTCCCACTCTTGGTCAAAGTTAAGCTCTGTTGTAGGGGTAGTCAACCTGGTGCCCTCCAGAGCTTATCGGACTCCCATCAGTTCCCAGTCTGCATGACTAATGGTCAGGAATTACAGGAGTCCTTTAACCTCTGAAGTGACCCATGTTGGCTCCCCCTGCTCTGTTGAATAATTTGATCATCAAAGAGAGACAGGTAAGTTCAGTTTCAATGCACAGAGTTTACTGTATCGGAAATGCAAACAAATTACTTACTCAGTGCTTAAAAGGTATATATACTAGCCCACAACAGGAGAATAGAAGTAATAAATATTTACAAATTTTTGAATTTAAATGAAAAATAATGATGCACTACTAGATTTTACTACCATTTAAAGCTGCCTCAAATTGATGAACTGCCATGATAGGAGTTCAGAAATATAAACATAAAACTGAGCCAAAGCCAGCAGTTTAGCAGCTGCAAAAAGTAGCTTGAATTCCATCCAAAAATATGAAATATCATCACTACTAGGTACAAGACAGGTTTGTATAATATAATCATATAGTTTCAAACGGGAATAGATGTTGTCAGACGGCTGCCTCTGCTCTTTGACGCTTCGTTTTTGTCTTTTCCCCTCTTGGCTGTGCCGCTATTTGGAGCCTGAGTATACCGTGCCACAGTGGAAATGCCGTCCACAAACTTCGTCTTGTAGAGCACATTTGCATTGTTGAACATACCATCCTTCAGCGATACCACAATGAACTAGGAACCGAAAAAGCATATTGTTAAGCATACGTTTGAAACAGTTAACTTCCTTTTGTAATATGAAATGAAGTTATCGGTGGAATGCAACAGTGTGTAACTGCAGTCCTCTCATGAACAACAGCTAAAATCTGCCTAAGCGCTATTGTTCAGCCCGGACACTGAAGCCAAGCTCCGAGGACCTCCTGGCAGTTCCCTCACTATGAGAAGTGAAGCTACAGGGAACCAGGCAGAGGGCCTTCTCGGTGGTGGCACCTGCCCTGTGGAACACCCTTCCCAGATTTCAAGGAGATAAATAACTATACAACTTTTAGAAGGCAGCCCTGTTTAGGGAAGTTTTTAATGTTTGATGATTTATGGTGTTTTTAATATTCTGTGAGAATCTCCATTTATTCCTCTTACTGTTATAGAAAGAACGAGCAACTGGGACAGAGATGAACAAATGTACAGTACACCTGATAAGAGAGAGAACTGGAACCCTTCCAAGACCCAGAAGCATTTGTTCAGAAGATGCTCTGTGAAAATTATACTCATTGTTACTAGCTTCTTACTTGGGAATGCCTGAAGTGGGTTCGAAGCATCTGTCCAATATTCTGGGTGTGTGACAGATCAAGGGCTGCATCTACCTCATCCAAGATGTAAATTGGAGCTGGCTTGAAGAGAAGCATGGCTAATATCAAAGATAAAGCCACAAGAGACCTGAAACGCAAAACAAAAATAGAGAACCAGACACACCCAGGTTTTATATGTGAATACCTGTATCCCTATTTTCAATAACGGACACTTTTTTTTTTTAGGTTTCTGGAATAGAAGTACTTAATAAATACTTCACAATACTTCTGTCTTTGAGAGTAATGCAAAGTGACACAGCTAGGTCTTGAAAATTTTGAGTTAAACAACAACATCATGTAAACCTCAAGTGCATAAACAGTTTAGACGCACCAAAGATTTCAGTTTAAATCTTGCTACATTTGTTTGTCACTGTACTAAAAGAATCTCAAAACAACTTAGCAAGATAAAATACAAATGAATAACATCAAAAAGATTCAAAACATTTTATGATATGTAATATCTAAAATACTCGTTCAGTAACACAATAAAGTCTTATCATCAGCCAGCCACAAAAGAGTATACCTGACTGAGTGAAAATGCCTTAAGCTGCTGTCAAAAAACTGAAACTGACAATATTTGGTATTCTTCATTGAGGAAAGCATTTCAGAGAAGGGGCCAAAACTGAAAGGGTCTGTTCCACGTGCCCATCCTGTGTATCTCCCTCAGGAGAAGCACACGGAGAAAGGGCCTCTGATGAAGACTGCAGGATTTGGGCAAGTTCATACGAGGAGAGGAAGCCCTTGAGGTATTGGGGTTCTGAGCTACATAATACTTTACTAGACAAAATCATTGCTTTGAACTGAACTCAGAAATTAATCGGTAGCCAGAGCAGTTGGACCAATTTTAATGAGTGCAGGTTATGCACTAACTGGTAAACAGCAAGTAAGCATTAGTATGCATCCCATCTTCCCTGTCTCTCCAAATTAGGAAGGAGAGTCAGCAGCCCTTGGACCACCTCGCCACACCCACAAGGATTCCAAAGTGGACCTGTTCCCAAGAAAGTGAATATTCCCAAGGAACCTAATAATCAGGTGAGCTCATTTTGGGCTAGTCAAATTTGTCAGTTCGCTCCCTCCTCTGGCCAGTATTTTTCTCCAAAACCAAGTTCACGCACCACTCTGCATTCCCCATACTGTAGACACCAGAATAAAGAGCCTCGGAAATTGCAGACCACAGTATAGCTGAGGCCTGTACTTTCCCCATTGCTATACCTCTATAGACATTTCCACACATATAAAACTATTTATTAGCTTAATGGAGGCCGAGCCCACAGTTGCGTTTTTAAACCTTCTGACAGATTTCTCAGCAGCTATTTTAGTTTAGCTACCCAACTCCTATTGTTCTTTTATTATTTCCTATTGTTATGTGCTGATGTGGTTGCTCGAGAGCAAACAGGCAAGACTCCAACCTGTCTTTTCCAGGCTTTATTATCTGCACAAAACTATTTACAATGCAGAGCATCGCAAGTCCATGTCTGCTCAGTCACTAGCAGAATCTGGGAGTGGGCGGTCCTTATACCTTCCCAAGCATAACAGTCGTGTGACCCCCACCCTTCTCCTCCCCTCTCTGAGCACAAACCTACTGCGTAGAGTGGGCGTTGGCAAAGGGGGACTTGCCTCCCCTCCTCTTTGCTCAAGCTCGGTGTTGAGGCTCTCCCTAGCATCTTCTGATCTCTGCGTCCCTTCCCCACTGGAGGCGGGGCTTCCCTCCTTGCCAGAGGAAGAACTGCTTCGCAAGATCTTCGGAAGCTCCCTGTAACACAACTGCCCTTCCACCTCTCGCCTCTGAGCTGATGGCAGTTCCCTGACACCTATTACAGTCATACCTCAGGTTACAGATGCTTCAGGTTGCGCGTTTTCGGGTTATGGACGCGCCGAAACCTGGAAGTACCAGAACGGGTTACTTCCGGGTTTCGGTGCTCGCGCATGCACAAAAACACTAAATTGTGCTTTGCGTATGTGCAGAAGCACCGAATCGCAACCTGCACGTGTGCAGACATGGTGCTGCGGGTTGCGAACATGCCTCCCACACGGATCACGTTCGCAACCCGAGTGTCCACTGTATTAACATCTCACCATTTTTTCACTGAACTCATGAAACTTAATAAGGTCAGTATCCAGACTATTACACAGAACAATGTATCATAAAAAACAATGGATATCCCTGCTGTATAGGACAAGGATGGGAAAGGGACAGAAGGCAATTTAATGGTTGTCTTTGATTTTGTGCTACATTTGTGTTTATAAATATATATATATCACACTAACCTTTGGCCCCCACTTAATTCAGTTAAATTTTCCTTCCAGGTGTTCCCCAAAGCAACTTTGAACTCGAGACCATCTAGAACAGTTTGGCCTTCAGGAGGAGACAGCATAGCATTGGACCCAGGCAGAAGCGTTGAGAAAATTGAGCCAAAGTCTTTGTTTACCTGGGAAATTGAATGCAACCATCATATTTTTAGAAGTTCTTTTGAGTTAAGACTGAGACCTGAATCATGGCTTCCATTTCTAGCACACAGCAATTCCATAGGCAACAAAGGTCTTTTTTTGACACTCATTTTGCTTGATGGGACTTTTGTGCATCTCAAGTAATAATTAAATGGACAATGGATTTTGGTTAATCCATTAAAAAAAGACCCATGAAATTAAGTTTATTCTTGAGCCCATGGACAGAAGAGTTATCAAACTAAAGAGACCTACCTTCTGCCAGGCAACATTTAAAGCTTCATTTTTCTTTTGGTCAAGCTCCACAATTGTCGCAAGAATTTTAGACTTGTCATTCTCAACAATTCTTTTCTTCTTCATCAAGTCATTGTACTAGAAACAGACAAGATTGAAAATCATGTGACTTGGCATGGGGCAGATTAGGTTGTAGAACTTGCAGTTTTCTTTGATTTTTAGTGTGTGTTTGAACAATTTCACAAAAGCAAGGTAAAGAAGGTGCTTGTAGGGTCAGGGACTTTAGTGCTTTGTGGAGTTGTCAGTATTTATTTGGCAGTGTGGAAGTATGAACCAATGATGCAGAAGCTTGATACTACACTGGTAGTTTGGAACAAAAAGCAGAATCCTTCTAATATATACCAGTAACAGCCTCTTTTGCCTGTACTGCCTTTTTTGCTGCCATTGGCTGACCTGCTCTGATGTCACAGAAGTTCTCTCTTAGCAGCGATGTCACAGCCCCTCTTGCCATTGGCTGCATTTTTCCGTATCATATGGGCTGGCCATTCTGGCACCAGGCACCTGAATGCTTTAGGCAGCTGGGTACAAACCTGCTAATAATTATAGCTCATTAACAGGAAGCCTGAATGACTCCTTTAAGAATGTTATGGAGGTCTTTTGCTTGAAGTACACAGAAAAACATTGGGCAGTATCCAACGAAAGCATTCCATCAGCACAAGGATTTCTGCTTGCTCAATGGAAAACTCCTCTCTCTGCCCTTGACACTCTCCTCTGCTACATATCCTCTAAATTTACTCTAGGGGCTCTCTCAACTCTCTGGAGCAGATCTGGGGAGAGCGTGAGGCAGGCGCTGCACAAATGAAAATCATCGTGCTGACAGGACATGTTAAGTTAGATATTGGCCGCTTTCTGCATAGTTAGGCATCTAAAGCCATCCAGTTTGTTGTTCACTATCTAAACACGCTGCTTCCACATTAGGATAGGGTAATGCAGGATATGGTACGGCTGTGTGCACAGTAACTGGGAGGTGGCAGGGGGAAAGAGTGGAGTGGAAGCGACTTAACTCTTTCTTCTGCCTCTGTAAGCATGTTCATAGCTCTCATGTTGACATTCCTGCCCAACTTCTCTTTCTTTTCCTGCAATTTCTGAAGTCTCTGGCCAGCTTCTTTTGGATTGTTAGTTTTGAAATCGTAAGCTGTGTTTGGTTGGCCAAAAAGGTTTTTCTCTGAAGCTATCCATTCATAGTCATTCAGCATTTTGGCAACCTGTTAAAAACAAAACAAACAAACAAACAAACAAACAAAAACAGTTTAGAACTTTTATAGAGTAATATTCATCTACCCCCCCCCAAAGGTTTCTATAACTCTTAGCACAGCAATTCCAAACTGTGATGTGGGAAGCCTCAAAAACTTCAGGTAGAAAACTTATTGGGTTCAGCGTTGATATTGTGTTTCATCTTTGGTATGAAAATTTATCTTGCAATGAGAGGAGGAAATCTGTTAGGGAAGCTTCTGTTTGGGATATTAATCTTGCATTTGCTAGTAGGATCACAATGTTTTTGCAGCCACATAGATAAAGGAAGCCAAACAATGGTAATGGGAGATGAACAAGCAATGCACTCAGCAGTCATTACATCCCATAGAATTCATCTCTGCCCACAATATGCATATTTTAAATTCAAACACAGTTAAAAGTATCAGAAGTAGGGATCTTACTCACTGGTGAGGAAGTAGATATGTTAACATACCTTTGCAGAAGCATCAGAAGCCTCCTCCTTGTGTTTGCTGACATTGTGTTCCAGCTCCTTGATCTTAAGCTGCGCCTTGTTATTTTGTTCTTTATATTTCACAACCTCTGTAGATTTGGCTTTGATTTCTTTATCCTGGGCCATCACCACTGCTTTCTGCTTAGCCAGTTCCTCTTGAGCGTTCTTTACGGATTCCTGAACAGCAAAGGAGACAATTATCTCTCCACACTGATTAAAATTAAATGTGGAATGGAAATACTTAAAGTAGTACGTTTTAACGTATTAAAACTCAAAACAAAAAAGCACTCAAGATTTAAAGAATCTTGAATGTGGATCATCAACTGGCACCTTACAGGCAAAGCTAGTCTCCCTTGCCGGGCAAGTCCCCACCCTCAAGATGTGATTCAAGAGACAAAACGGAATGCCAACAGAGGGACTTGGCAAGCACAAAAATGGGACTTGCCAGCATAGTATTTTAGGATACTCTGGAGTATTGACTCATCAGCCCCTCTTTTCTTAAAGCTTGAGAGTTCAAGAAGACATGTCAGGTTGCTTCTTTCATTAAATCAGAATGATAAGACTTACCTTGTTTTTTGCTACCTCGGCTGAAATGACCTCAATCTGCTCTTGGAACAATTTTATAGCTTCATTCACCGCCTCAATCTGTTGCGTATAAGAGTTTTGTTCCCGTTTTAGCTCTTCAAGTTCCAGTGCTAGAGCTTCAGCTTCCTGAACAAAGCAAGCAAACAAAAGAACAACAACACCCCTTAAGGCTGCAGTTCTTTGGGAGCAAGCCCCACTGAACGCAGTGGGATTTGCTCCTGCCAAAGCATTCATATTATCTGTGCTACACGGATAGCACTTGCTTGGTATTAATCTAATGAAATTATGCACACTAGACTCTCAAGGTGGGTTGGGCAAATGTTTTCCAAGGTTCTCCTGACGGTAGAAAGCTTTCCCACATCCAACTGTCTTCTAAGGACCACCTAAGTGCCTCCCCCACAAAGTTATTTAGTTTAGGAACAATCACAAGTTTTAGTTAATTTCAAGACTATTTAAATGTTTGGGCACCATTACACAGTTGTTAAAAGTTTTACCTGCTCTTTTTCTTTCATCTTTTTGCTGGAAGCATCAGCTTTTTTTTTGGCTCCATCAAGCTTCTGCTGGGCATTTTTCAACTCTTTCTCCCTTTCTGCTTCGGCATTTTTCATTTTGTTTTCCAGCACTTTGAGCTTTTCCTCTGCTTTTTTCTGAACCTCTTTTGTTTTCTTTAAAGTCTCCTCACTTTCCTCTGAAAAGGAAGAGGCTGCTGATCACAAACTTCTGGGCAGAAAGATTCTACAGCAATTCTGTTCGAAGCAAAAAATCCCCCCTCCCCCAAGGAAACTTCGAGAGAAAATGAAATGTTCCCTTTGTAAAAGCATGATGTATTTTCAAAGTTAAAAATGCTGTCATCTTTAAAGTAATATGACAGCCTTGTAATGCCTACTGATAAAGACAAAGGCTCAGCCAGTGGTGTAGTATGGTTTTCTGGCACCTGGGGCAGGTATGTGCACACACCATGGAGGGGGGATGGAGGGTGAACGGAGCCCATCACGCCAGCCAAGCTCTCGCCGAAGCAATACCAGTCCTGTGCCACTTTGTGAGGCTGGGATCTGATCTGAATGATTTGCCTGGCTACCACAGATGTCAAGAACCAGTGACTCAATGTAGAATGCACTTTGCAGAAAGCTACTGGAGATTAAAGAGGCTAATTCTCCTTTGGAGAAAGATAAACATTAACCACTGGCAAGAAATACAAAAAATTACCAAATTATCACATTGACTTAATTTACCTTTTAAAACGATTATTATTTTTAAAAAGTCATTTCCCTTGCTAAGCAACCGGCTCGCAGACTCTAACCCAAAGTACATACAGCCAGTTAAAATACGCTATCACTGTTTTCTTCTCACCAATTGTATTTTTCAATGTATTCAATTCTTCCTGCTGTTTGTAATAGGAACTTTGCTGCAACTTGGTTTGCAATAGTTCTGCTTCTTCAGATTTGATCTCCCATTGCTGCTTCAGCTGACGATATCTTAAAAAAATTAAACATTTTACAAACAACAACCAGTGCTTCACTCAAGTATTTTATATTTATATAAAACCTTTATATAAAAGGTAAAGGTACCCCTGACCGTTAGGTCCAGTCGCGGACGACTCTGGGGTTGCGCACTCATCTCGCTCTATAGGCCAAGGGAGCCAGCGTTTGCCCTCAGACAGCTTCTGGGTCATGTGGCCAGCATGACTACGCCGCTTCTGGCGAACCAGAGCAGTGCATGGAAACGCCGTTTACCTCCTTGCAATACCTATTTATCTACTTGCACTTTGATGTGCTTTTGAACTGCTAGGTGGGCAGGAGCAGGGACCGAGCAATGGGAGCTCACCCCGTCGTGGGGATTCGAACCACCAACCTTCTGATCAGCAAGCCCTAGGCTCTGTGGTTTAGACCACAGAGCCACCTGCGTCCCCAAGTATTTTATATACAAGTATCTTTAAAAGCAATTGAACTGGATAGTATCAATACTTTCTAATGATTTTGTATTTAACTGCATTTGCATCTTGTCTTTTCCTCCAAGGAACTCAAGGTAGTGTACACATTCCTGTCCCTCTCATTTTATCATATAACAAGCATAACAAATGTTTTGTGATAATTGTAATATTTCTGTAGTACAGATGTCACACAAAATTAGTCAACTGTGCTCTTTAATTGGTACGGAAGTAGCATTACTACAAGCCAGCTTGTACCAACTATCTGTAGAAGTTTAAGCTTCTATACATCGTTTTTTATTCACAGATTTTTATCTAGGGGAAAAGACCCAATTCTTCCCGTGAAATACAGCATTATAAAACATTCATACTGCTTTAAGTGAGGCAAACTTCTTCAGGTTTCTATACAAAGGTAAGTACTGACAATACATACTTTTCAGCAGTCCCCTGCAGACTTTCTAATTCCTTTCCTATTGACTGCAATTCAGCCTCCATTGCTTTCAATTCCTGTTGCACATCTTTTACTTCTTGAAGCTTGGACAAAACCGAAGCAGATTGTGGTCGTGCGCCTGGTTCATGAAAGAAGAAAGTCGTAAACAGCTGCTTGAATGAAGACCAATGAATACATAAGCTACACAAGCACAATCCAGTCGCTCCACAGCTGTCTATGATGAATTCAATTGGATGAAAAGGGTTGCCTTTGGAATAATGTCAGGTGACACAAATGCTCTGTCTGCAGGGTGAAATTTGTTATGCTGCATCAAGTGATCCACATGTATTGTTAAAAATATTATTTATTACCTGCTCTTCACGCTCAAGTCCCAGGGCAGGTTACAACGATTAAAGCACAATATTAAAAACCATTTAAAACAATTTAGTCACAGAAAATATACATCTCAAGTTTCAAAAGCCAGGGTAAACAGTGTGTACAAACAAATCTGTCCATTATAACAGAGGGATAAAACTAGAAATGCAGTCTTTAGCAAGCAAATAAATGAATCCAAATTCAGTATAGCCAAACAAAAAGAAAACAAAAAAATCAGTTATAGCTGTGCAATATGAAATAAAAGGCAGCAATTACCTCCACTCAGAGTGCCTTGAGGATCAAAGGTATCTCCATCAAGGGTGACCGTTTTTGTCATTATCCTTTTGTCAAAGGTAACTCTCTTGGCATTGTCCATGTTATCGCAAACCAGCGTGCCTCCAAAAACGTATTCCATTGCCTTTTGAATTTCAGATTCATATCCCACCAGACTAAGGGCCAGATGGACACTGTCTTCACCAACCTAACGTCCAAAAGAAAAAAGAATTAACACGGCAGAGAAAAAGAGAACAAATAGCACTAGAAACAGTGAGACTCAATGACTTGCTCTCCCCTATTCATTCAATCCAGAAGTGGGTCACTGGGGGGAAGAATCATTTTGCTAGCTTCCTGGTAGGTAGGTCATTGGTGCTTATGAGGAGGGAGGGAAACAAGGCAGCAGGGAGATTGGTGCCATGGAGAAGCAGCAGCAGAAGCAGCCTGAACTCTTATTGATGCATTTACACTGTGCCGAGCTGCCCACCACCTCACCTCTCCTGGGAAGCCAGTCTAGAAGCTCACCCCCCCCAGCTGTTTCTGTCTGAATGACTGTATAACAGATATATTGGTTGAATTGTGATGGTTGCCCCGTGATTTCTCACCAACCCACTGCTCAGACAGAGACCACCTACGACAGGGGTGTCTAAACCTTTTTCAAAGAGGGCCAGATTTGATGAAGTGAACATTTTTTATTTATTTATTTATTTATTTAGGATTTTACCCCAAGAAATAAACTGCCACAGGGGCCAGATTAAACCGACCACCAGAGGTTTCAGAATGAGACAGGTTTGACAGTGGTTAAGAAAGTGAAATACCTGGGGATTAATATGACAGCAAAAAATGGGAATTTATTTAAAGACAACTATGAAAAATGCTGGGCCGAAGTGAAAAAAGATTTAGAAATTTGGTCAAACTTGAAGCTTTCATTGCTGGGTCATATTGCTGCGATAAAAATGAATGTATTGCCTAGAATGTTGTTTTTGTTTCAAACATTGCAAATTGTGGACAAAATGGATTGCTTCAAGAAGTGGCAGAGAGACATTTCTAGATTTGTCTGGCAGGGCAAGAAGCCCAGAATAAAATTTAAGATATTAACTGATGCAAAGGAAAGAGGTGGATTTGCCCTGCCAGACTTTAAACTTTACTATGAATCAGCAACTTTCTGCTGGTTGAAAGAATGGCTGCTTCTTGAAAATACAGACATTTTGGATTTAGAAGGTTTTAACAACGTATTTGGATGGCATGCATATCTGTGGTATGATAAGGTCAAAGCACATAAAGCATTCAAGAATCATATTGTCAGGAAAGCATTGTTTAATGTCTGGATAAGATATAAGGATTTATTGGAAAACAAAACCCCAAGGTGGTTGTCACCGATGGAAGCAAAAGCACAGAAAAAGCTCAATATGGAGGCCAAGTGGCTGAAATATTGGGAAATTCTGGAACAAGAGGGAGATAGATTGAAATTGCAGAGTTTTGAGAAACTGAAAAACAAAGTGTGAGATTGGCTTCATTATTATCAGATAATGGAGGCATATAATTCGGACAAGAAAATTGGTTTCCAGGTGGAAAAATCAAAATTAGAAACCCAAAACTAAGATTGTGTCAAAGATGTATAACTTGCTGTTGAAATGGAATACTCAGGATGAAACGGTGAAATCTGCTATGATTAAATGGGCACAAGATGTTGGACATAACATAATGATGGCTGACTGGGAACAGTTATGGACCACAGGTATGAAGTTTACGGCATGCAATGCCTTAAGAGAGAATATTATGAAAATGATATACAGGTGGTACATGACCCCAGTCAAGCTTGCAAAAATCTATCATTTGCCCGATAATAAATGTTGGAAATGTAAAGAAACTGAAGGTACATTCTTTCACCTTTGGTGGACGTGCCCAAGGATTAAGGCTTTCTGGGAGATGATCTATAATGAATTGAAAAAGGTATTTAAATATACCTTCTTGAAGAAACCAGAGGCCTTTCTCCTAGGCATAGTCGGCCAATTGGTGCCAAAGAAGGATAGAACTTTTTATGTATGCCACAACAGCAGCAAGAATACTCATTGCAAAGTATTGGAAGACACAAGATCTACCCACTCTGGAAGAATGGCAGATGAAGGTGATGGACTATATGGAACTGGCGGAAATGACTGGCAGAATCCGAGACCAGGGAGAAGAGTCGGTGGAAGAAGATTGGAAGAAATTTAAAGACTATCTACAGAAATATTGTAAAATTAATGAATGTTAGAATGATGCTGGATAGAAATTAAGTGGTTTTCAGCTGTAATACTATAAGGGAATATGAAAAATGGATTATTAATAGGTAAAAATTTAACGTTACAATATTTTAAGATTAAAGACTAGGATAAACAAAGAGGGTAAGGATTTGCTGAACCAACAAACCGAACTGGAATACAAAAAGGGAGGCGTGAGTAGGTCCGGGAAACAAGCTAATGAAAAATAAGTAATGGAAAGATTGAGTTGTTTTTAACCATTTTTATTTTGTATTTTCTTCTTTTTTTTATTTTTATTTTGTAAAATTTTGAAAATCTTAATAAATATCTTATAAAAAATAAAATAAACCGACCAGCAGGCCGGATTAGGCTCCCAAATCCCAAAACAGATTTCGGACGTGCCTGACCTAAGAAGTCCAGAAGTCCGCAAAATCATCTATCCCAAATTCACAGCCTATAAAAGAAGCATTTGGTATAAACAGTAGTACCTCGGTTTTCAAATGTAATCTTTTCCAGAAAACTGTTCTGAGTTCCAAAACATTAGAAAACCGAAAACTCAATACGGAAGTCGCGTGGCATGTTCAACTTCCGAGGCGTGTTCAAAATCCGAAGCATTTACTTCCGGGTTTATGGCATTCAGAAACCAAAATGTTCATTAATGGAGATGTACAAAAACTGAGGTACCATTGTATACAGAACATAGAAGTGTAAATCATATCATAAGAAAACTAATGAGCATGTAGTGTGTGTTATAAAGTGAAATAATTCACCAGTAGCATACTGGAAAAAATTCCGTAAAATTATTTAAGAACATACCAAGGTTTTAGCCGCTCTGATAGCTTCTTTCTCAACAAACCTTGCTGAAATTTTGTTCAGTGGAATAATGGTATAGCGACGCTTCAGTTCGCCCTTTTCTAGCAATTTTTTCCCAGTAAGCTAACAGAAGAAAGCAGAAACAAAAAATCACACTTACATACTAACCCATTTAACTCATAGCTGGTGCTGAGTTAATAACAGATTGCAGCAGTAATAAATTACAACTTCTGAAAGGTAGAAAAGCTTTATAGGTTTAATTTCTAACTCACACCTAGCTTATGTTTCAAACTGTATGAAGCTCACGTTAGACAAGCTCTAGTTGTGCATCTGAGTCTTAACATATGAATAAGGCCATAAAGTTTGTAAATGAGACAGACCCAATTTCAAACAGGTGCCTCATGCGGGTGCATTGTTGAGTGCTAGGACTGGCAGCACTTTGCCGTCTAGTGTATACCTGCTGCCACATCTAGGGTCTTTTGTGTAGAAAACCCCTTTCAAAAGCCTGGATATTTTCTTTTAATTTATCCTACTGAGAAAAACATACCTCGGTGTCCACCACAACGTTGTAGAGTCGACCCCCAGCAACTACTTCTAGTGCTGTTGCTGTAGAGATATCTTTCACTGTAATCAGAGATGCAACAAGGCCTTTCACTTGATCTCGGTTCCAGTTCTTTTCTGGATCTCTTAAAATGAACAACAACCATCAGTCGTAATTTGGCTGCTGCTAATCAGTCAATTCAAATGTATTGCTTGAGAACAACATAAAGCTGGGGGGGGGGGGGGAATGGATGACTCGCTATTGATGCTCTGACAGAGATAATTATGCAATGATTTACGATAGCCAGGACGAATCCTGGCATCACACTCTCCCTTTGAAGATAGGGAGATTAATTGGCATGAACCTCACTTACCTCTGAAAGCAGTCATTCGTCACATGGAGACAAAGAATTGTTATTGGATGTGGAGGAACGTCTCAGAGACTCTGCATAATAGTCCTTAAGACATCAGGTCAGCAAAACCTACCTTCTTTTAATTCTTTTTGAGATTGGAACTCATTACACCCGAGGTGATCTAATTGCCTATTAACACTAGCCAATTTTAAATATATTGAATAACCCTAATATACATAATGGGCAGATGGAGCATTGGAAGTCCTTTCCACTTCTTTCGTTTATCTCTTTTTTATGATCTTTTAATGATCTTTAGCTTTTGTCCATTTTTGTTTGTTTAGGTTATATTTTGTTCTTTGATGTCCTCTATGTTGGGTTGAGGAGGAAGGTGATGAATGACTGATGAAGGACCCTGTGGGAGAGGCAGGGAAGGGAAGAACTCCCAGGGTGGGAGGCTAGAAGAAGAAATGGAAGCTCCCAGGTGAGAGCTGGGAAGATCCACCCCCTTTTGTGGGTGGTAAGGATTAAGACTGACTGCTGATAGAGACCTTCCTTGGTCTCTCCCCCCGCCCCGTCTCTTCTGTTTTGTTTCTTTTCTTTTCTATCTTTATTTAGATTAGTTAATTTTTATGGTATGTTGAAAGCTTTTATTAAAAATTCAGATAAAAAAAAAACAAAAGGAAAAAGGGGGAAAGGCATAATGCAACAAATGTGCTACTTAAAGTATATAAATAATGTTCTTGACTAATTAATAGCTTCCAGACTGAAGCACTGCAATTCTATCCAAAATCAGAATATTTTTTCTCAGCTTCCATGTTTGAAAATAGGACATTTTAATGGAACAGATGAGTCTGTAGTTTTACCTGTACTCAAAGCGTAGGTTGGGGAACTTGCTCATTAACTTTTCATAGGACTCTCTCAAGCGGTTAACCACACGGGACAACTCCCTTTGTTTTTCCAAGAGGGTCTCTTCTTTTTTCTCTAGAACCACCAAGAAATAATAATAATAATAAAAGAACCCAGTTTACATAACTTCAAAATGAAGCTGTTTAGGAGGAAATGCACAGCCCATATCTAAAATAATACAACACCCAAAATGTGTGAAACTGGTAGGAGCATTGATTTAGGTGCCACAAATTACTAGGGGGGATTTTAAACATAGGCACAAGACGTAGGTGGCCCATGTCCCATGTGACTGCATTTTAAACTCATGGCACATGTTAGCATGTGCTAACGCATATGCATGAACATTAGCATGCCTGCACTCTTCTATGTCTGGCTCACATCTTGTCCAACTTTGGCAGTTCACCAAAAGTCTGCTGGATAGCAGTTTCTTAAATACACACCTGTGCATGACAAGCAAAAACCTCGATGAATTTCACAAGCAATTCTGTGCTACCTCCTTTCTCAGTAGTATCCAGACATTAACTTCTAGATTCACACCTCCATAAATTGTTTCCTCATTCCTTCTACTCCCAACCGTTTTCGCCATTCAATCACCTAGTCCTAAGCTAACCTTCATAGTTGAGTTTCTTCATTTCATTTTCTAGTTTCTCTTTCTGCCTTTTGACAGCTTCAAAGGTGTCTTGATCTTTCTTGTAGCCAGCATCCATTTTTTTCACTTCAGCTTGTTTGGTCTTTAGTTCTTGTTGAGCATGTTTCAGCTTCATCTGAGCCTGCAAGGAAAATTCAAAAGTCTAGGAACCTTGCTTATATGGAAGCATTCTCTCGCCTTGCCATGAACATGAAGTTATTAGTCAGGCTTTTTACACTAGAACCACTAAATATAGGCTGCAAATGTACACAAGCTTTACTCAGAAGCATCAGTGAAGCTTATGGCCAAGACATATGCATGATTGGGCTGGAGTGTTTAGGTGGCAGGCAAATAAAGTGATTGATTATAATCTGCTTAAAAAAGCAGATTATTGTTCCATTACATTGCTTTAACAAAAAATGTGATGGCAGGCCCAGAGTGAAGAATAGGGATAAGACAATATATTTTGCCTGATAAGGAGACTTTCTCCACAGTAGGATATGAAATATTTGTAACATTTAACTTCACTATCATATTACAGCATATGCAGAAGTTTGATTTCTGCCCCCTATGTTCACATGCTTCTACTTCTTTTCAGGAGCTGTTTAGTTTGCACTGTTTTCCAAAAGGGAGAAAGGTATTTTCCTCTCTTTCAATTTTGTTAACTTTTCAACATATCATACAATCTATCTATCTATCTATCTATCTATCTATCTGTCTAGGCCTCTATCACGGTTTTATTTTATCCTAGCTCTTACCTAGGAGAGCATCACCCTTTCTTAGCCTTCCACCCTGTCTCTTAAATAGGCCCCTTTATCTTCTGTCCATCACCTTCCAATACACATCCTCATTTATCCCTAATATAAATCTTCCAATATTTAACCCTACATATGAGTAATATTGATAAACAGCTATCAAGAATTGAAAAATGCTAAAAGGCAGTAAGATAAAAGAAAAATAAAAGAGGTACTTTTGCTTTTCTATCTGCCATACATCTACATCTACTCAAATTATTTAGCATCTGCACTCCAGAATAGTATTTTCCAAAATGAGTTGGATTAGAAAAGTGCTCGAAGTAGGAATTGGCTTTTAAGAAAAAGTCACCTCTGTCACTAGCAGAGGTGAATGCAGGATGCTTGTTTATTGTTGCTTTTGCCTTCATAGGAAGTCACTGCCCTCCTAAGTTGCAATCCTACATACATACATTCATAACACAATCTATTTGTCATTTTAAAGGCTAAGGCAGGTTTCCTCAACCTGGGCCCTCCATGTTTGGAGATTACAATTCCCATCATCCCTGACCACTGGTCCTGCTAGTCAGGGATCATGGGAGTTGTAGACCAAAAACATCTAGAGGGCTGAGGTTGAGGAAGCCTGGGCTAAGGATTCCCACCCTCTCCAAAAGATGCAAAGACAGATTCTTACTCGTTTTGCTTCTGTTTCTGCTTTGCTCATATCGTTTTTGCAAGCCATTATCTGTCCAGCAAAAGTAGCATCTTCCCCATCTTCATTGCTGGACAGACCAGCTGATACAGCATTGAAGTGCTGCTGGGCTGCAGTCAAAGCCTCCATCTCTTTATTATTTGCCTCCTGTAGAGCACTCAGTGCACCTGTAATCTTATTTACCTCTTTTTCCTTCGAGACTAAAGCTTTAGAGTCCTACAAGAAAATGTAAAATTGTATACAAATTGTAAGCACACAGAAGCCCACAAAAATTAGATGCAATTGACCAGAAAAAGTTCATCAAACTTTTTTTTTTTTAAAGGCACTTACCCTACCAAATCTACATCAGTCACATTTAATCTTACATGGCCTGGATCCAAAGAACTGCACAATTCGTCCACAAATTTTGGTAGGGCACCAAGGCAGAATTTGTGATTGACAAGACCCTGACCCCCATCTTCAAAGTACCCGTGCATAAGTCCTACTGGTTTCAATGGGGAATTGTAATTGTTCACAGGGCAACAGCCTTTTAAGGAAACAAATACAACTGAACATGTGCAGGATTGCACTGTTTGATTCCCAGCCTAGTGCCCTGCCTCTGTGGGACACAATATCTGCAATCATGAAGCAGTCCCAACTCCCTTATGTTACCTTTATAAATGTTAAGATATATTTCTATGACACAAGTACTTGTAGAAGTACATAATGCATATTACCAAAATGTACGAGAGTAAACAGATTGGGGGTGCACATGAGAATGTAAGGGGAAGGAGAAGACAAGAGTGTATAATTTAACAAAGTGTTCTTTGCTTACCTCTTCCATGCATTTAACCAGCCCTTTACGCTTTTCTTCTTCACTTTGCAAGTTTTGCTTTTTGATGTCAAGCGTGCTTTGCACTTTAGTATCTGTTCTCTGAACTTCTGCAAGAGCTTCTTCTAGTGAATGGAGAACACCACTAAATTCCTGCAAATATTTTAAAGTATCAATCGTTAACTTATGTGTTTTGTGTATTTGCAAGTATGCTGAGAAGAGGCAAAATGGTTCTTTGTTAAGGATCTCTGAAGCAAATGCAGACCACCAGCGGAGAAAGGCTGAATTTTATGAAGCAAAATGGCTTCACACGCACACAAGGGTACAGAACTCCTCCAATGATTAAACAATTCCTCCTTTGCACGATAGAAAAGCAAACAATAATCAAGCCTTAACATAGAATACTAATCAAACAACCAATAACTCCTTGCTTTTTACCAGGCAAAATACCAGATGACAGAATCCCCACTTCCTGCTATAGGGAGCCCCAGCGGTAATAGAGTAGGTAAATAAATATGGGGAAAGCAAAATGTCATTTAGAGAAGGATCTGAATTATTTTCCTTGAAGCTTGAATTTGTTGTATTCTGGATTGTTTTATTTGATGTTTTAATGTGTTGTAAACCGCTTTGAAATTTTTTTTCTTTAAAATATGTGGTATAAAAATGAAATGAAAAATAATTTTCACAGAAAAAAAAAAAAGGTGTACCTAGACATTCCCCTGTGGTAACCATAACCTAGGTTTAAGGTACCCTTTGGTGATTAGCTTATACAGTGGTACCTCGGGTTAAGTACTTAATTTGTTCCAGAGGTCCGTTCTTAACCTGAAACTGTTCTTAACCTGAAGCAACACTTTAGCTAATGGGGCCTCCTGCTGCCGCCGCACAATTTCTGTTCTCATCCTGAAGCAAAGTTCTTAACCTGAAGCACTATTTCTGGGTTAGCGGAGTCTGTAACCTGAAGCGTATGTAACCTGAGGTACCACTGTATATCTGAGTTTCTAACACTGGATCTCGGTCCAGACAGTGATGCAAGACCTGCAACAGTGTAGGTCTGCTTCAAAGCTCCCCCTTCCTAGCTCAAGCTCTATGGTTTTTTCTGCTCCATGCAGGAGACACTTAATAACTCAGCTACCTGTACCTGACATGATTATATAACTACCTTCACCTGGGTCTGGGAATCCCATGATCCAGGCCAGCAATCAACCCACAGCTGGGCCATCTCCAAGAATAGGAGTGTTTCTGCAAGCACTTAAGTCAGCATTAAATGAAGGGTTAATTGCACAAGGCCACCTACACCTCCTCTCCTTGATTACAATTCTTCCGCATTTCCACTGCAATCTCTTTTTAGAAAGTTCATCTGGTATGGATAGTAGATATAATGTCAGAAAGTAGAAAGGAATGGGAAAGTAATAGGCTGTGTCAGCAACTTTTATTCTTAGAGGGCCATCAAATTTCCACCCCGCTAAGAGATGCATTTTTAAAAAATGTATTATTTGACACTAACAGCTTTGCTTGGTGAATATCTCTGTACCAACTCTGCTATAAACAAGTGCATACTTTACTGTATACAAATGGTTCCATTTATAGCCAAACAGTGTTCACAGCATCATGCTTTAGGACAGGATTCGCTGAAGAAATTGTCAGCTTCAACTTCCAAAATTATCTTCTATGTCTCCTGTAAGCACCAAGACTATAAAAAGGTTTCTTATCTTGATACCCTCTTGCCTCAAATTCAACCATCCAATTTCTTTAATCCCAGTTATCTAAGATACCTTCAGTGGAAAGGCCATCAGGGAACTCATACCAAAAGCTCTACTTCTGATGTACAACATCTGAGTTATTCAGCTAACCAAATAGTGCAGGTTTCTTATCAAGTGTTACGCCTTTAAATGTAATTTCCAAGTGATATGGAAATGGTCAATATAATGTACTTCACATGTTGGAATTCTCTTAAAAGCTTTTTAAAAATGTGCTTAATACAAGAAATAACGGCAGCAGTTTAGTTGGTCTTACTTTATCCCTTTTCTTTTCCATTTCGGCTATTTCTGCGCCAAGTTCCTTCACTTTCTTCTCATTCTCAACCATCTCTTCCTGGACTTTTACAATGTTCCCTTCCATTTCCTTTAGCACATCACCAGCACGTGCCTTGGTTTCTTCAGCCAACACAAACTGATATGCAACGTACAGATGACTCAGGTGTTCAATCTCTCTCATGACCTTTTGGTATTCCAAGTAGGAGGATCGTTCCTGGAAAGGAGAAGCAGAAATATAAGCCATAACCAGAAATAACAGCTATGATGAAACAGCGTAATTAGATTAGAAAACATGGCCAACATATTTATTTAAACAGAAGTTCTATTTTTTAAAAAACCTACAAATTACTGGATTTCAAGAATATATTTCTGCAATGTATATAGAGATTGTAAGAATTTCAGAGGAAAACTAGAAAAATGAAGCACATTCACTAAAACCATTATGAATAGTAAGAAAGTGATGCAGTTTGCAAACTAGTTCATGTCAAGGAAAGGTCTACAATATCGCCTCATTTCCAGGCCTCATTTCCCCGCAACAGGGTGCACGCCTGTTGTTTGGTCTCAGCTTCTGCCAACCTAGCAGTTCAAAAGCATGTCAAACTGCAAGTAAATAAATAGGTACCGTTCTGGCGGGAAGGCAAATGGCATTTCTGTGCGCTGCTCTGGTTTTGCCAGAAGTGGCTTAGTCATGCTGGCCACATGACCCGGAAAAACTGTCTGTTTACGAACTCCAGCTCCCTCGGCCAGTAAAGGGGGATGAGCGCCGCAACCCCAGAGTTGTTCACGGTTGGACGTAACTGTCAGGGGTCCTTTACCTTTAAACATGCCTTGGTTTGCAATGTAAAACATTTTTTTCATTTTAAACGGGAAATACCTCTTTCAGTTTCTGCAAGGTGGGTGTGATTTCTTCCTCCAAAATCTGTGAACAAAGTACAGAATGAAAAATTTTGAATTTTCCAAATGCTCCCACCATACTTTCAGTGGATGGGACATCTGCAATGGACTTTGAAAAATTGAATTAAAAAGAGTAAATAAAACCAAATTGGTCATTAAGGAAAGAGACAGACAGGACCAGAGTCAAAGCTCATTTCATTCCTCTTAATCTACGCCTTGAGGAACTTTAGCAGCCGTTCATATCTGAAAAACAAACTTCCCAAAATAAATAAAAATTATAAAAATCTAGTACCGTGCAAATTTCTTTAAGTTTTGCCTCTTTTTTCTCAATGGTTTTCTGGGCAGCTATTTTCTTGCATTCATACATCCTAGTGCCAGCTGCTTCTTCAATCATAGCCAAAATCTAGAACAAAAAACTGTTTTTGCAATCTCAGGCTAAATAAAGAATCAATTCCAAAATGAATGAAGGAAACACTAATGAAAAAGCTCCAGCATTCTTACCTCTGGAGGCTTCATATTCAGAACTTTGGTAATCCGTCCCTAATACAGAATGAAAATCAATCAGTAACATCTCATGTAATTTTAAGATATCATTTTTATTACTTATTAGCATCAAGATACATAGCAGACTTTTAATGTTTGTGTCAAAGAGCCACTGACCTAAAAATAGCAAACACTGGGCAGATTTCAGGGAAGTGGAGGTGGAATGCACAAAGTTACAGGCAAGAATAGTATTCTGAACCAAGAGGTCCCTGGCAGAGGACACATCAATTCATTACCTGGTTGATTCCATAACTATTTTGCATTATTTTAGTTCTACCTTTAATGTATCAGCTGTTTTTTGTGTTAATTGGGGCCTTTACTGTTTCTGTTGTATATTGCCTTGAGACAACTGTGTAAAAGGTGATTAATCACAATAATAATAATAAAACATGCAGCCCAGAGAGGGCTTCCTCAGAATCTGCAAGATCCCATTCCATTTTTTAAAAACAGCTGGAGATCTGCTGGATCCTAATCATGCTTATCCCAACAGATCTAGCTTTAGGACTGCACCCTAGTTCCTGCCTGCTAAAAAAACCAACACAATAAGAAGGAAAGTGATTATATTTTTAACAATATATGCTTACCTGCATAATAAGAAAGTGAGGATTATTGACATTCAGTCCAACAGAGCAGAAGAGATCTTGTACTCGAGCATTACTTGCATTCACACCATTGATTAGATATTTATTTCTGCCTCCAATCACCACCTTGAGAAGAAACAAGGGTTCATTATGTACCAAAGCATAATTTTCCTTCTAGTCTGATGCTACAGTATTCAAGCATCTAGACAGCTTGGCATGTGCAGCTACATATGCCAAAAACAAATAAACAAAGGATTTCAGAATATACCTTTACAGAGCCTAACTATTGCTCACCTGCCTTGTTACTGTAATCTCATCATGAATCTCAAACCCGAATGGACTCTGCTTCTTGTCAAAATTATCAAAAGTGATTGATACTGTAGCCTTGGTAATCCCAGCTTGGCCATTTTTGTAAACCAGATCTTGCAAGTTAGAAGCTCGCACCTGAAAAACATTAAAAGGGCAGTAATTTTCAATTAATAGCAAGAGTGCATGCTTAGGCTATAGGGTTGTGTCTAAAACACTTAGCTGGAAGTTAACTGTTTGGGCCATCATTCACAATGTTTATACAAGATTGAGGAGAGAAACACACTTTTTTAAAAATTAAAAAATCAATCTTATGATGAAATTTGTGGGAAGTTTTATATATAGCTCAAAAAAATCTATAAAATGGTTTAGCATTGCATGTTGGATAATTCCAATGAGTATTTGTCCTAACTCCCACAGTGAATTGGAATACAAAAAATCACATGTGACTGGAAATTGTCTATTGGTGCTGTAGTTTTACCGAAGAATCCAGCCAATATTTGTATAGTTTTAAGTGAGTGATCCACAAACAATCTGAACCGCCACAAGCGCAAATTAGAATTAAGTTTTAGGTTCTATCTCAAACAGTTCATAGGCAAACATACAGGACAAGTTTCAGTAAGTGCTGCTGCCAGAATGGACTTGTACCCCTAGCTAGTCATAATTATAAGCAGTACAAAATTCTATGTTTAGTTATACATGGAGTAAAGACAGGTTAAGGACCAAATACCCTGCCTGTTTTTGTTTTCCTTCAGATTGCACTGTCAGTGGGCAGGGTTGTAGTTTAGTAACAGAGCATCTGCTTTGCATGTAGAAGGTCCAAGAGTTGAATCCCCAGAGTGGGCTGGAAGAGATTCCCTGCCTGAAATTCTGCACTCAGTGTATGCCAAGTCATCACCATTCCACCACAGTAAAATAGGCAATTATTTGTTTAGTTTTCCTCTAATCAGAAGGGGACGACAGAGGACGAGATGGTTGGATAGTGTTCTCGAAGCTACAAACATGAGTCTGACCAAACTGCGGGAAGCAGTGGAAGACAGGAGTGCCTGGCGTGCTCTGGTCCATGGGGTCACGAAGAATCAGACATGACTAAACAACAACAATCAGAAGAATGTGTAATATTCTAGCATTTGTTACAAAAACTTTAAGCTCACCAAAGAACAAGGAATGGAAATATTGATGCCAGTAGATGTCTAAGGCATATACTCACCTGTGATAGATTGGTAATGCCCAATAAGAAACAGATGGAGTCCAGGATGTTTGATTTGCCACTTCCATTTAAGCCAGTAATAGCATTGAACAATGGGTCAAAGTCATTCACTTCTGTCCGTTGAGCGTAAGACTTAAACCCCTCGAGCACAATTGATTTTACGTACATTTTGATTGCTCTCCCTAGAGATTCCAAGCAAACCTACTGTTTAACCTGTGAAAGAAAACATTTGATTCATAATTGTATTTTGAGTCATAATTCTGTGAGTTACAAACATGCATACTGGATCCTACCCAGACACTTAGAAATCTGAAGTAACAGTGAATTCTAATCAGCTTTAGTATTTTAACTTTCTGTATATTTCCAATTTTTCTTTAATTTATTGTTTTTACCTTTTTGTAAACCGCTTGAAGGTTTTTCACAATCAAGCAGTGTATAAATTTTATGAAATAAATAAAGTAAGAATCTATTGGGCACAAAGCAGCAAGTGAGGAGCATGAGATGGCAAGCATTGCAATCACACTGGGACTTAACTTTACAGTAATGTTGCACAGGAGAAATCAACACACACTGCAACTAATTTGAGATTTCTGCAGCAAGGTCAGTTTCCCTGCCTTTCAAAAAGCATTTTTACATTGCTCTCTATGTCCTAGAGAGCGGGGTAGGGACATCCTCAGAGGATGCTCATTATCCAACAGGTTTCCTTGCAGCTGAGCCACCTCAGGGATTAATGTTTTGCTGTTTTGATTTACTTATTTTTATCCTGTATTTTATTCTGTGAACTGCCCTGAGATCTTATGAAGGGTGGTATATAAATCTAATAAATACAACAATAACATTTAATGAAGCTGTCACCTGTGCAGAGGCTGCACCGCAGGTTCCAAGTCAGACCGAAGCCGGTTTGAGGTGAAATGCCTCAAACAGCTGCCTATCACAGGAAACTGGGGGCGTATGGATCGTTGCCATGTGTACTCAAGCCCCAAGTGCAGCAATTCAAGAGAAATCATTTTTCTGTGCCGAGCTGTTGCCGCATTTCATGGGTGTTTAGGTTCTCAGGCAGACGTTCTCATCCCATAGAATCAGAGAGTTGGAAGGGACTCTGAGGATCATCTAGTCCAACCCCCTCCAGTGCAGGAATATGCAGCTGTCCCATCCAAGGACGGAACCTGCAACCTTGGCATTGTCAGCACAACGCTCCAACCGAGCTACCCACCTTCGGAGCGATGCTATACGCTCTCTCTATCTTAAGTGTATAAATGAGAGCCAACCAGCCATGCCACCGTAGCCAGGATTTGGGGGGGGGGGGAGAGCATGGGCGTAGCCAGGATTTATTATTTGGAGGGACAACATTGATGTAGCCAGGAGTTATTATTTGGGGGGGGCAGCCCTGAGACTTCCAGGTATGGGGTCAATAAGTACTACTAATAATGTAGTCAGGAGTTATTATGGGGGGGGGCAGCATGGGTATAGCCAGGAGTTATCATTTTGTGGGGGAGGGGGCAGCCCTGAGACTTCCAGGAATAGGGCAGTATATAAATCCAATAATAACAATAAGAATAAGAATAAGGTAGCCAGGAGTTATTAGGGGAGGGGGCAGCATGAGCCTAGCCAGAATTTATTGGGGCGGGGGCAGGATGGGCATAGTCAGGATTTATTTGGGGGGGGCAGGATGGGCGTGGCCAGGGGTTTTATTGTATGGGCAGAACCTCAGGTTTGTATTGATTTTGATTGGTTTGGGGGCCCTGCGCTACACCCGGGGGGGGGGGACACAGAACCGAGTTATCTGGGACAGAATTGGCTCGTTAGTTTATTTATTTTTGTATTAAATTAAAAGAAAGGGCTGCTCGCAGCAGGACAAATCCCCGGATCCGTTCCCTTACTTGGTTTACCCCGCAACCCTGTCACACGCCGGAGCGCCCTTCATAGACGCGCGTCACGAGGGTCGCCCGACACGGATGTCTCTCCGCAGTTCACACGATACAGGCACACGCGCCGTGTGTGTGTGTGCGCGCGCGCGAACATGAGGCGGCCGTTTTCAAGTTGCACTTATTATTATTATTACACATTCGGCGTGAGGTAATCTGTGTATTCCGGCTCCTCGGAAAGCAGAGGAGCCGCGAGTCTTACCTGAGGCGACGGCGGTTTCTTCCTCCCCTCGCTTGAATTTCGGCGCGAGCGCGGGGGTCCTTCCCCCTTCCGCCTCGCGAGACGTTCTTAGACAAAGCTGTCCAACTCGATGCCTGGTTTGTTTTCGTTTGTTTTTCCCCACCCCCTGGAGACAACGGCGCAGGCGCTGTGAGCACAGCCCCACCCTCGCCGCTCGTGATTGGATGGAGGCGCCCGGGCGTTGGATATAAAAAGGCGCGGAAGCCTCGCTGACGCTCATTTCTTGCTGCGGGGAGAAAGGGTGGAGGTTGGGCGCTGGCGGGGTTTGAATAGCTTCTGCTAGGAAGCCAGAGCTCTAGGGTCTGGTTCTAGATTATAATGCTTTAGCAAATTAAATAAGGAGGGTCATCTAGCCCTTGTAATGCAGGAATATTCAGCTGCCCCATATGGGGATTGAACCTGCGACGGTGGGGTTATCAGCACTATACTTTCAGGTTCTGAGTGAATACAGGGGGAATATTTTTTTCTTCCCTTATTCTTGCTTGATGAATTTGTTTCAGCAAGGAGTAAACTACAGGCTTGCTTGGGGTTTTATTGTTTTGCAGGCTCTATAAGTAGTAGCTCCTGCCTCTCCAGTATTGAGTTTTTTCCTTCCCCTTCTGCACTTGCTGTTCTGAATTTTTAAAGAAATAACGAGGGAATAGGGGACGAATTTGGGAGTCATTGCTTCAATAGCTTAAAAAGCTTCATCTCGAGAAGGAAGGGCGGGGTCGGGTTGTGATGGCGTTTGAAAAGAGTTGCAGCTTCTGAAATGAAAATAAGAGCTTCATGGTCTTGGGATGTTACATTTAAAGTACAGCAATAACCATATAAGAATACAGGATTTTCCCCTACCCTTTCCTAATCTGTTTGAAGCCAAGCCAAATCAGATTAGTTTTCAGCAAGGAGAGTAAAATAGGTTTGCTTTTTTTTTTTTTTTTTTTTTTGGCAGACTCTGGAAAGTGTAGGAGCTCCAGTATTCAGGTTTCCCCCCTATTTTTCTGCGCTGACAATCCTGAAAGAGGCTATGTTTTAAGAAATATTTAATGAGAGAATAGGGAACTAGAACGTGGGAGTTGTTGATTTGATACCTTAAAAAACTATCTTGGGAATTACAGCAACTACGTTTTTTCCCTATCTTTTCAACATTTGTTCTATTCACTACTCAAGATTGTGTTTGTTTTTTAAACAAACGGCAGATGATAGCAGCTTGTTTTCTTTGGGATCATCTGGAGCAATGTCAGTTTTACCACCAGGAGTAGGATGATAGGTTTTCTGAAATTAAAAAGCTACTAGAGAACTTAAACTGGTTTGATGTGAATTGCATGCCTTGGGCCTAAAACTTATAAAATCAAAGGTATACAGCTGTAAAGGAAAAATGAGTGGGAGGGAGAAGCATAAAAACAAGCTCTGGTCTGGTGCCAGTTGCTGGTTTCAGCCATATGGGAAACCTGCAGAAAAGTTGGGATGGTATATAACCATCTATATAGCTGGTTGGGACATGCTTTAAGTAACCCATGAATACCCCACACAAGAATATGGTAGCTTTACCTGTAGGGAACTTAATTTGTTGGAGCAAAGCAGCCTTGAAGCTTTAAAAAGACCTAGCTGAAAAGCGAAAAAAATGATTGGAAGGGGCAGGGGTGAGCTTTTCAAATTGTAGTTTAATGTTGGCTGTTGTGTGGTCATGCATCTGCAGGAAATAATGCAACCCTAACAGCCTTGTAAACCGATGAAAATACCTTTTTGTAAGAGGCAAGAGGGCTCCAGTCAAACATTCTAGGCCGGATTATACACAAAATTAAAAGGCAGGATAATACCACTTAGAACATTCATGGCTTTTTGTGCTTGATAGTGAAAAGCTGCTGTAAACATGATCTATCTCCCTCCCTTTTGAATCCCACCCAAGTTTTTGTTAGCTGGGGATGAAAGCAGTCAGAACAGAAAAGAAAACTATTCAAGCAAGGTTTTAAGTTGAAATATTTCTGCCTACAGTTTATTCCCTTAATCTTAGCCATTAGAAGCATGCTTATATCCAAGCCAATACAGCTTTTAAACCAGAATCTGAAGCAGCTTCACCCAGAGTTTTTGAAGTACTCAGGTTTTGTTTTGGGGTGAGGGGTACCAGCCTCCCGAAAGTAGAGATTGACAATAATGCATTAAAACTTAACTATTGTACTGAAGAAAAATTACTTTCTCTTACTACCATCTTAAGTTGGGGCTACGAGATTGGGGAGAAAGTAATGATTTGTTATTTTTAAAAAAGTTGTGAATTGCTATACCTATCCTGGGAAAATGCAAGATAAACTTGTTACCCAGCTGTTGGGACAAACAAGCTGATTTCATGGGTGGGGTCTGATGCAATTTTATCATACCCCACCTGCATTTTGGTTCCACCAGCAAATGAAAAAGAATGAAGGTTTTTGCTAGCTTCGAAGAAAATTTTAAAGCAGTTCTTTTTTACAGAGATGCTACATAAAGCACCTGTACTAAAAATTAAAAATGCCATGTTGGGTACCCTTGTTCAGCTACGACTTGTAGCTTCTCACTTCCGTTTTATATTCCTATACATAAAGTGCCATGCACACTGATGATGCTCTACAGTTTTAAATCTCTGGCATCAAATAATTGCATGCTGCAGTATTTACTGTTAACCCCTTCAAGGAAGCTTAATGACCTCCATATATATATATATATATATATTAAAAGGTTTGTCCCTCTCCAACGTGTAACCCCACCCACACTTGAGTGTCCTTTAAGGTCAGTAGTAATGAGAGACTGAAATGAAGTGTTAGGTGCAAATTAGATGCACTAATAGCCTGCTGGAATGGAGGCTTCAGGTAACAGTTGCTGTTGCTCAGGTGAGCAGGTGGAAGAGCTGTTCCCATTTTTCTCAGTTGCAGCCTAGTTTCAAAGGCTGTTCCCCCCCCCCAATGCTTTTTATTGAGATTTAATAATGCCAACACCAACCAACAAAAACATCAAATCTTAATACATACTACATATAACATAATGTCAATGGCTTTATGGAGCATAAAGTTGGATATCTGCAAAGGCTGTTGATTGGGCAGCTGTGTAGCAGCCCTTGCCGGTGGCCTGAGGCAGACCAAAGTTGAGCTTTTTTGAAAATAGTGTTTAGGGGAGCTGCCCATGGCCCCCTCTGCCCATTCCCCCCCTTCCCTGCTTAGCTACACTTCTGTGATTGGGTGACAGGGGAAGGTTGCCTTGTGAGCATTCACCTTGCGATGATAGGTGTGGCAATATACCAAAGTTACTGCTCTCTAGAACGAGTGTTGGTATGGCTTGTCCCCTGTATGGCATGTCTCACGGTGGAGAAGGACAAAACTGGATGATGCCAATCACCAAAGACTTCTGAAGCTCCCTTTGTGGGCGGATAGCTATGTTTTTAGGCTTAACCTAAGGAGTTTCTAGCACTGGTATTGTTTGTCTCCTGTATGGCATGTCAAATGTTGGAAGAAATTGCATTCTTCTCCAATAGCTGGCCTCTTTTTTTTTTTTTTTACTTTGAATTTTCTGGAGTCTGAATGTAGCCATGGGCTCCACCCGTTTTGTCAGGTTCTGAGGAGCGTGGCAAAGCTCTCCTTCACCCCACTGCCTTCCTACAGGGAGGGCTGCCTGTATAGCAGGGTTGCAAACTACTTTTTGTAACACACTTCTACACTTGAGGAACAGAGGACATGCTTGAGCATTGTTTTACAGTACAACCAAGACACAGAACTTTACTTCCGAAAGCTACTTGGCAGGGCCTTCTTAAGCATATCCAGTGCAAAGCTCCTTCTGGTGCCCCCCACCCTTTCCCAGAGTTTTAGGGAGGGTGGCGGCTGGAGGACAGCTGGCTCTTACGGTGGGGAAGAGGCGGAGGCTGGATGCGGCGCCTAGCGGCTCAGCTGGATGCTATGTGCCGTGGTGGCCACAGCAGATGGAGGCTCCGGAGGAGGCGGGTGAGGGCTGTGAATGATGCCGGGAGGTGCCGCATCTAGCCCACTGCCTCTTACCTGGCACCACTAACCTCTGGGCAAGGTCCCCTGCTTCTAGGGACAAATGTGCTCTTTCCACAAGCTCCTTAAGGTGAGGAGGAAGCAGTGGCAGGCGATGAATGCCACTCCTCCTTGTGGGTCTGTATCTGCTGCCCTCCTTCCAATCGGCTGCCCTGGCCCTTACGGGGCTGAGCCCCAGCCCCGGTCCTTTCCTATGAAGCTTCCCATGCAGGAACTGTAGATGCAATTCAAGAAATCCTGCCCGGTGCCTCAATGGCAGGTCCCCCAAGTTCTTCCGTTTGCACTGTAGAAAAAGGTAACTTGTTAGCTACTGTTATCAACTGTTCCAAAATGATACTCTACTTCCCAACCAGTCGGAAATGCTCTTTGGACTCTTGCTGCATATACATTCATATTGTGTTGCCGTTCCCTCAACCCTGGAATCTACTTCCTGCCCCCTTTTCGTCAAGTCCTGGCGTACTTCTCTTGTACACGCCTCCTCTCAGCCTCGAGACACAAAAGGTTAACCAACCCTTCACTACACCCAACATATTGCATAGGGTGGAACCCCCTTTAGAGACACTCCATTTGTCCATTGAGACTAACACTCCCTTCGATGGATTACCATTCTTTTTAAGACCTACCTTCTCAAATGTGTATTACGTAGTTCATTCTTCAAAATTGGCATGGCTTTTTGAGGATTAGAGATCATGCAGATGGTGTCATCTGCATAGAGATTTAATAAATGCTATTCAGCCCTTTCCCGGTTGACCCCTGATACATGGGTTACGATGCAGTGCCGCGGCTGGTGGCTCCAGGGAAACAAGGGAAGTTTGAGATGGAACAACTCTGCTTTCATGTCCCTTCCATTTTGAAGCAAGGGATGAGTCCATGTCGTTCGTACATGTGCTGGCTTTGTTGAAGTCATAGTAGCAAAGCCATATATATGACTTGACACTGCTTTAGGAATTCAAGCAAGGTTCAGAAGTTAACATTCAAAAGATGGACTTGGATAAACTTATAGATGAATTAAAACATTTTAATGTTTTATTTTGAAATCTTTTAAGATAATATTTTGTTTTCTGTTACGTTGCTTTGACTTTCTTCAACCGCTTGGAGATTTTTCCTAA